CCGAGGTTCTACGAAAAGAGAAGTTGGAGACTAGTTGCCATGTATAATCCTGGTAATTGGGTTTTTCTAATGATGAACTCATCCAAGCCGCCAGCCCCACTGCTGAGGGGGTCTCTGTTCAGGGTGTTCCCAAGGTTTTTTTTTCGCTTCTTCCTCGTGGGAAGTTACTTATGGGCCACTGGTTCATGACTGAGCACCTACTATCCGTAACAGTTGATGGCGGGGTTTGTCTTGAAATCGATGATGAGGATCTGCCCAAGACCATCTCGTTCAAGTGGCTAGAGTTCTGCCTTCGAACCTGATGTGGTCTGGAGCCCTGACATACGAGCGAGAATCACTACGACATGGTTACGATGGAAAGGAGCTGGCGTATTGTGCTAAAGAAGCATGCCGATTTGCCTCAAATCAAATGTGTACCGCACTAGTATTCGCCATGCAGCACTGTATGGATCCTAACGATGAGTGGCTACGAGAGGTGCAGATCCTCACCTTATTGCTACAGAGATGGAGATTTTACGATCGCCGAAGCAATAGACGCCTTGACAATATTTGCTGTGCAGCAGTGATTGGCCGACAGAGGAGCGTTGTGCCGTTGCAGAGAATATAGTAGAGAGTTGCTACTCCAATGGTATGGTCATGTCGTACATGCCGCGCCTTACACCATTTTATCGCCTAAAAAAGACGACCGTTGGTTCAAATGAAGGCCTAGACAACGTCGATCAGCGTTGGATAGGACACGTACGTGCGCAGGAAAACCGCACCCCGGCGCCCCAGTTAGGATACACTATAGGTTTGAATATGCGATCATAGATGCTGAAAACGCCCCCCCCCTCCGCGCTCCCTCGCTACACGCCAAACGGGGCAGCATTAGAAGAAGGAGAAGAAATGCTCCACTTCCGCCCGCTCGAGGATCCTTTGTAGGTGATAGGCTAGGTGGTTACTTTGAGAAAAGGCTTAACATCGATATTCATGAGTACCATGGGTACGGAATTTGAACTCGTGTGAAGTTCTGTCATATTTTCTTCGAATTTTCAAAACTGTCTCATTACTGGCATCTCTGAATTACTCAACGTAGGCTTCTATTTTGATTACGTATTTATCCTTCTAGTACTGACCCAAAAAAGAACTGATAGATCCGCTCACTCTATCATTTTACATCCTCCTACTCTGCCTTTTTATTTTTGCAGAAAAAACCCTGTCAATGAAGAAAGTTGCGAAATCTGGGAACAAACAAAAACAAAAGGAGACGAATGCCGAAATCGAAAGGCTGGAACGCGAACTGTCAGCTCGTCATGAAAAAGAGCTTGCAGAACTGATGGTAATATTTGGGTACTTTTCTATTTGTTTCCGTCACGTGAATGAATACCAATTATGGAGCCATTTCTCGCCGCCTGCTGGGTGGAAGTTCCCAACCGATTATTTTGTTACCAGTTGTTGCAAATCCGTTCGTTTTTTTTGTCTGTTTACAGCGCCTATTATTACCAGAGAATTGTAGTAACTCTCAATGAGTGCACCGACAACAAAGGATGAAAGTTCTCGCCGTTGATCGATCCTTTTTGGGATGCGGCACGCATTCTACTTCCATTCAGAATCGTAGTGGCTTATTGAATGCGATGTGGCCTATACAATGACTTGCGGTGGCCAGCCGATGTACAAGTCAGTGTTCTACCTCCCAGACGAATGTGGAACCAGTTCAGCGTACCGGGGAAAGGAGATAGAGGGCTTGATTGACTTGGCGGGAACCACACCGGAACTTGATCCCTGGACCGCGGGCGCACGTGGTGAGCGCGTGCCACTTCCCAACACCACTTTCGCTTTGCTGCCGAACATGTACTTAAGCGAGTAAGATGTATCAAATAGAGTGTTTCGATACAAATAAGCCGCATACTTTTAGAATACCACTTGTCCTTCCTCCACAGTTGGTCAAGCTCCGCTTGAGCAACCCGAAGTTGACACTGATGAGTTGGACACAGGTTTCTATAAACAACTAACTATTTTCGAACAAAGCCAAGGAAGGAAGCAGGTTAGTTCCCGTTGGTGCTGGCTTTTTTCGATCAAATTGTCCTTTTATATTTTGCGTATCTCTTGTTTTCCGCCCTTTACTTCTGGTCATTTTTATATGATTTTGTTCTTTGTTTTTTATTTTATTTTTTTTTTTTCCCATATGGGCCTCGCGCTACCGCATAGTTAGTCTGTCAGGTAATCATCTCCAGTTCCCTTAAGTGTTGGAAACATTGCGAAAAAAGCTCCACGGCTGCAGTAAAACATCATTTTTCCGCTCCAAAGGTGCTCGGGTACCCGAGTACCGTCTCATATTCGCGCCTCCACAAACGTGAGCCATATTCGCGTCGATACCAAAGTCCCACAGCGAAACACCTATTCAGCGGGAGAGAACAATCAGACAAGTAGCGCGTTTGGTTATGGCTAGCGCCTGGCTGACCCTAGGGAGGCAGCGCATGCGGTCGGAGTGAGAGATGAGCATCCATTGTATCATTACTGGCCACCACTGCGTCACGTGTGTCATTTCGCCTGAGAAAGTGCCAGGCTCCTGCAGCTGTGGACCCGTTCTTCCCCATACGGTGAGGACCAGGATTCACGGATAAGCGTACAGTTTGTCTTCAAGATTGCAATGTCGATTCTACTGTAGGGAACAGCATCGAAAAAGAGTAATCGAAGAGCAAAAACCAATTGAATATTTCTATCGCATATTTCTCGTTTCATGCTCGATTCAGAACCTCGTGAATGCATCTTCCATTCAAATTCAGGCTAGGCAAGAAGAAGCAATACGCCGTATGCAGGAAGCCGTACAGCAAGACCAACAAGACGCTGAGAAGTCATTGCGTGTCACAGAAATGACTGCCATACAGAAGGTTCTCGCTTGATGCATAATGTAATATACCTCCCTTTTTACCTTCCATCTAGTTCCAACAAATTGTCTTTCTTGGAACTGCTCCATGCAATTCATATTGCGCCGCTACCTTCAGAACTCTGTATCTGGCACAATAGCAAAGGAACCTCAAGCTCAAGTACTCAACGAAGGAAACCTATTGTGCAATGAATATAATCGAGAGCATATGGAGTGAAGACTTTTCTCAGCCAAAACTTTTTGTAGATACTTGACGAGCGTGAGCTTGACATTGTCGACATAGCTCCGGATGGTGATTGCCTTTATAATGCGCTGGCTCACCAGCTATCGCGTGTCAAGGGTTTTGAACAGGTGGGTCGATTGAGATTACAGTGTGAGAGCACCATATACGTTATGGCCACGCTGCTGTCGTTGCCTGCTCAGTATTCTTTTTCTTATATTCAAGGTAACTGGAAAAGATATGCGACGGAGAGCAGCGAAGTATATACGAGAGCACAAGGACGATTTCATTCCATTCTTAGTGAATGTAAGTTGAAGCCAAAATACGCATATTTTTTGACTGTCAAAAAAGTTGGTGCCAACTACTCTTCGGAAGTTGAAAACAGTTGCTGTTTGGCGACCCCCCTCGACCGAAAATTTTTTTGGGAGAGTAGTAGGAAGCAGGGAAAAGTCAACGACGCTAGATGGTGTGTAGGATGCAGAAGGGAATTGTACAAGAAGTGAAAATTTAGGAGGGGGGGGGAGCTCTTATTCTAACTGCTAGTACAGACACTTTTTAGAAACCTACTAACATCGATTTTCTATCGCGAAATGTGGCTTTAATCAAAAGAATGAAGCCACAACATCATCAGTGTTCAATGGAAATTGTTTTCAGGAAAGCGACGACCCTCTGGATGAGTTTGAATTCGAAAAGTATTGCCATGGAGTCGTGCAGTGACATTCGGTTTGCAGTTGCAAAATGTGGCTTCAGTCAAAAGATTGAAGCCAGTCAATCACTAGTGTTCAAAGGAAATTACTTCTAGGAGAGCGACGATCCGCTGGATGAGTTTGAATTCGAAAAGTATTGCCATGGAGTCGAAAACGAGAGCAAAGATGGAGGTGTCTGGGGTGGCGAACCTGAGCTGAACGCTATCAGTCAAAGCCTGGAGCGAAGTATAGAGGTACAAGGGATTTATCGGTTCTTTTACCAGATTCTATTCTTGTTGGAAAAAGAGTGGAAGGCCTGTCGCGTCAGCGCAACTTTACCTGCTCTGCAAGATTAGAGCGCGGCTACTTTAGCCGCTTGTTCTCTGTGAAGCCTTAACGTCGCGGAGGGTATGAGACAGGTGCGTTGTTTCGCGTCTCTCTACCCCCAAACGTTAGTGACCATGGTTAGGAAACGAGGCAGTGAAAAATAAGTAACCGACTTTATTTGGTTGGATTCTTTCGCGAAAATTTCTTGATGGATCGGTGTTGAATTGAATTTAACAAAATTTAGTTGATACAACCAACTGGACCGCCGGTGATCTTTGGCGAACAGTACAACAAAACGAAGCCGTTAATAATTGTGTACCACCGTCATGCTTACCAATTAGGAGCCCATTATAACTCAACAGCTGTGAGAAAAGTTTCTTGATGATTTCATAGGTTTAGATATATTTTATGATGTTGTTTTGCTGTTGTAGTCTGATATATACCATTTATCATTACGTGATTGTTTCCCGATGGGAATACCGTTTAGTTTATTTGAGAATTTGTTCACGCCCATATATAAACTGTTCATGCTCACTGCAGTGAACGGCATATAGTCGTCCTCGTTCCTAATTTTTATAAACACACTATAGACTTATTCTTCATTGACTTCAAGAGCTAATGAGATCAAAATTCATTCAAGCAATCCACTTCAGCTCGTACTTAGCGTTCCACTGGTTCTTCCACGAATAGGCAGGTATAGCTTGAACTCGGCCGGCAGTTCATCCTCGTTGTACAGTCGATCAGCGAAGTATATCCGACGCAAACGGCAGTTTGCATGAACCTGAAACAAATGAAATGAATAAATCGAAAGAGATCTCATCTTTCTTTAATGTTAAATCCACGCTGTCCGCGATTACGTGATGTGCAGCATGCTTTCCTTGTACATGGTGGCGCGATCCCCAATAACAGGAAAATGTATCAGTTTCGCTTTTCAAATGTACTCGAGAAGAACGGCGGGGTGTGCCAAACTCCACCCAAAAAAGGCAACTTGCCATTCCATTTCGCAACTGCCACAAGTTAGTGCAGTTCCCGCCTCCGAGGATTCTCTTATGATGAGGAAAAAGAGCTGGTGTCGGTACAAACACGTATAGAGCATTCCGGACGGTTTTTTTCTGCCTTTTCTTCATTACCAGTCACTTAGTACCTTTTTATTCTTATTTGACTAGGGAAGGTCGTCAGGTCGAAGTGGCCATTTGTAATGAGATGTAGCTCACTAGACGTGGTTTTGGACGCTGATCTCGAATCTGCCTTCAAATTTGCAAAGCGATTCTCTGAACGGAGTTATGGAGCCGCGTTTACCACGCAACAGGTCATGGGATCGGATCCCTGCTGAGCTTAACTTTTTTGCTTCTTGCGCAAACGTGGCAAAAAGTGGTTGTAGCGTCACTACTACATTAGCGCTCTCCTAAACTTGCCTGAAAAACAGTTTGCGTTCGCTTACTGGCGCGCTTAGTGCCTTATGATCTAGGAGAATTTTTGGATGTACAGG